GACCTCTTTTGGCAATTTTCAACACTGATGTCAAATTAGGCTTTATGCTTTTGGTTGTACACACCCAACAACTTTAATCACTAGTGTTAAAAAAAAAACTACTTCACTGTGGTTAAAAAAAGCTTTTTTTATTCAGCAACTTGCTATGATAACTGATTTGAAAATGTATTTATGCTAGTTACACTTCCTGTTTTCTAATAAAGATTGAAACATTCAGGGTTTGAAGCATGTTTCGAAGCTTTTGTTTCATACTACCATCACAAGTATGAGCTCCTTTCTTCCTTGGTGGATGTCACAAAAAAATGACATCATGTGAGACTTGAGGGTCATTGGGAAGACAACCCTACCCACATGGAAAAAACAACATGGCTGTTCAGAGCCAGGAAAGACCTTGGATGTGCAACACTGTTAWAYTTTAGTATCAAAATGTTAATACATCAAACAACACAGAAATTAGTCTGACATCCTAAAACATTTACCCACTATAATACATATTCAATACCTTTACGTCTACAGCTACACATTTTAAAAAAAATGTTGACACTACTTTATTGATTAACATAAAAGCATCTTAAACAGATGTAGTTTTGCAAAACCTTTATTTACAATGCAAAGTCCACCATCTCAATCTGGATAAAGAAGACAGTTCAACTCCATCCTTCTTGCATGTTTCTTTGCAAACACATCAACAACGCTGTCAAGGTCAACGTGCTTGCTGTAATGAATATGAAGCAGAGCCAGTGAAGAGAGACGCTCCTTACCCATCGCATGTAGTTGTTGAGGCGACGAAGGGCACTGGCACTGCGCTAACACTCACAGGATGTGACAGGGAGTGTACAGACCAGCCGAAGCAGGACGTGCAGGTTGGGGTACATGTCTCGGTCACACTCTTTCAGGGAACTTGCTGGGGTGTTTGGCCTCTGTGATTCAGGCACTCTGTCATACCTAACAGAACAGTTATTAAAACAGAATTTTTTATATAGCAATAGTATTATAACATTCAATTTCTAAACCAGCTTCTTGGATGCTTAACTTCAAAACAACTTACTTCAACTTCCACCATGTAACCTCCTGGTCAACAAGTTCTGGAGAGGGTAGGTCTTCTGCATACATGCTGACAATCTCTGTGGTGTCCAGATAATAGCTGGCACTAGTCCCAACAAGGAGCTAGCTGTGGCTGACAGAGCTGAGAATAAAAAAAACAACTTTGTAAAAAATATAATATTTAAATGTCAGAAAATGTTTATATCGTTTCTATTTAACTTGTATGTATACAAAGTAGTTAGAAGTTTTGTACAATCTTTGTAAAATCTTTAAATGTCAAATGT